GTCACTCCGTAGAGTCACAGACAGTGTGTGCTTTAGGGGACAATTTTACAACAGGTATCGACTGTAGAACGGCCCTGTATTAAGCTCTGGGAGACACGGCAGCGTCGTGGCTAGGCACGTGGGCTCTGAAGTCAGACTGCTGGGATTTGAATTCCGGCTCCACCACTTGCCACCTAGATGACTTTGCTCAAGTTATGTGACCTCTGGGCTTCAGCTCTTCATCTGCAGAGTGGAGGTAATAAGAGTCACCTTATAAAGTGGCTGGAAGGATTAAACCGATCACACTTGTAGATTGTTTAAAACATTACCTGGTGTTTAATAAGCATTTAATAAATGCTGTCTGTTATTATGCTTACGGGGATGATAAGAGAAGGTGTAATATAATTTTTGGAAATTGAGGATCTTGCTTTCTGCCTAGGGAGATGCCACAGCTCAGGAAGGAAGACAATACAAGGTAATAGACAATTAGGTGCTAAATCGTGTTCTTCAGACTTGAAAGATTGAAGGAGTTTCAAGGAGGTAAAAGAAAAAAATGGAATGGCTGGTCTTTCTTGGAATGTTTGGCAGTGAGACTTTAACTAGGCAGGAAAGATGAGACCCCAAGTGGGCACAGGAGGAAGGAGTAGGGAATCAGAGCAAGGAGCCCTGCATGAGCAGAGAACCAAGAGTAAGAGAGAAATGGGACAGTCACAGGGCGAGGGGATCAGCTGGATGGAGGGTGCATGCTGGGAAGACACGACATCTCTCAGGGCAGAAACTTACACACCCATGGCAAAGGCTCAGACTCCATCGTGTAGGATGGTGGGGAAGTCTGTGGCTTGCTCAGAATTTGTGCAAAATGCTGAGACCAGGAGGGTTTAGAGAGGGAAGGATGTGAGAGCCGAGAGGCCCCATGTTCTCAGGGGTGGAGACCAGAGGCTGCCTGGTTGCGTGCTGCCTGCCCAGGGACACAGGGAAGAAAAGGCCCCATATGGGGACAGAGAGGCCACCACTGCTGGGCCTGTTACATTATGGCCCGCCCGGAGCTCTGCTCTCTCTGGGTTGAAATGCAGGAGTCCGAGAGCAGCTCCCTTTACCCACAAGCCACCGAAGCCCCGAGGCACGAGTGTTTGCAAGTCGGTGCGTGTTTAAGGTCAAGGGAACATTGATTTCCGCCCTGAGTTGTGGTGGAAGCTGCTAATTTGATAAGACAGAGCATTAAAGATTCAGTGTAGATGGGTATTGATCATGGGGTAGGTCTTGTTAGATGGGATTTTTTTTTTTTGCATGATCAAATAACTATTGGGAGAAAACTAAATAAGAATTATCCACCTGAACCTACCTAGTCGGAGGGGAGTAAACCTGAGTAAGATGTAACATAGGATCGAGCACACGGCTTTGAAGGCAGACAGATGTGAGCTTGCATCTGGGCTTACCACTTCCTAGTCAGGCGGCCTTGGGTAAATTACTTACCTTCTCTGTGCTCAGGTTCCTGACAGGTGAAATGAGTTAATATCTACAGGATGAAGTTGTTGTGAGAATTAGACAAGGTATAGGTGATAATAAAAATAGTAACGACATCATCATCAATAGTGGATAATCTTATTTGAGCATGTGCTGTGTGCCAAACCCTATTCTCGCTTTACGTGTATGGACTGATTTCATCCTCACAAACCACCCAAAGAGGAAACTTGCTAAAGGTCACGCAGTGCAGAGCCAGGATTTGAAGCCCATAGTCTGTGTCCAGAGCTGACACTTGTGAACCTCTGACAATACAGCTCTAATGTACACGAGGCCGTGTCTGGTATAGTGTGCGAAACAAATACCGAAAAACTGACAGCCCTGAATGTTGACAGGAGACCTAGAAGTCCACACCATCTCTTGTATTAAATCTCTGCGAGCTGCTGGAGTCATGGTTGTGATTCTGGAGGGCCTCACTCTTTACCGGATGGGACAGGTCAGGCAGAAATGCAAAAGAAAATAACGGAGGGTCATGACCCAGCCAGACCCCTACTCCTTGCCCCCTCAAAAATACTGGATGAGGAAAAGAAGAAGAGAAAAGGAGAGATGATGAAATAGGCAAAAACACAAGTATAAAAGCAAAGGAGGAAATGTGGGCAGTCTTGGAATTTTGAGATTTAGATGTAGAAAAGCTCACGGAGGCTTAGAAAGTATCAGCAACTGCCACACCGTGTGCCCAAGTCCTGTCCCTAAGAGAATCATTTGGTTTGGAATAACTGAAGGACTAAGGGAGACTGGAACATTGGTGGCCCCCAGGGAACCCCACCTCTCGGAATCCACACCTTCGCTTGTCCCCTCCCACCCAACTCCAAGGTTGGCAGTGTGACTCACTTACACTTGGGGCTTGTCCCCTGGAAGTTGGTCACACCCTGCAAAGACACTCAGGCTTGAGTGATGACAGAGAAAATGTGGAGGGAGATCTCCTCTTTTTAAAAAAATAGACTACGACAGAGAAAGCTCAGTTTCCATCCCCAAATCTTGGTCTCCTTTCCCTTTTTCAGAAGTAATCAAATTAGTGGTTTAGTATCCCTCCATCAAAAAAAAAAATTTTTTTAGCTATTACATACACAAACATGTATGCAAGATGATATATTGGTTTCTGACACTACTTCTTACTGCAACTTTGTGGCAATATTGAAGGAATCACCATTTTGTATTTATTTGAAGATGAGGGTGACAATTCTCCCCCTTGGTACCAGTTGGGCTAGTAGGTGGGATATTTTTCACCTACAACACTGGCACGGTCAGATAAAAATCAACTTGCCCCAAACCATGTTGTCCATCCCTCTGCCTCCATGCTTGCAACCAACATAAATCAATGAGCTGGAGGGACTTAGTAGCCAATATTCATTTTTAGTATCTTCATGGAGATGAAATCCATCCTGGACAACTTATTCCAACGTGATTTGGGAGAACTATGGTAGCCAATAATGGTTTGGCTTTCCACCCTGGGCCACATGCCCCCTTGCCACCCCCATAGCCCCGTTCCCTACTATATACCCAGGGAGAGGAACCAGAGGAGGCTCAGCTCTCTGAGAGCTGCAGCGTTTTATCAGAGTCACAAACGGGACATGGGAGCTGCCACGGTTCCCTACTGTTACTTCCTTTGGAATCTCCTTAGCCTCGGGCAGCTGAGGTCAGCCGTGCTTCCTGGAGGCTTGGCCAGTCGTGGATGGCTGAGAACAGAGTCAGGGGGCCAGAGCAACAGTCGGAAGTGTCTCTATCTAATTCACGCCTTGGCACCAGCTCGCAGGGGCTGGAGCATCCAATTTGCAGCAGGAGCGTCTAACGGGTGTTAGGCCTCCCCGGACGCACGCCGCGCACTTGGCAGAGTGTGCAGAAGGATCGTTGCATATCCCGCAAATGAGTCACAAAGAAACATCCAGAACCACTGATGTATGCGTCTAACATCTCAGTACCTGGCGTGTGCTCAGAACATGTGGCCTGATGGGAGACAACGCGGGGCACACAGGGCACCTGACTGCCAGCCAGGCGTGCCACCCTCGTGAGCTGGATGTCCTGAAGCCTCCCTTGTCTCTTGGAGGTGAGAATGAACAACAACGTCACCCTGATGTGAAGTCAGGGGGAGGAGCAGACAGGCTGTCTGAATTAAGGAATCTAAAATAGCTAACAGAGAGTCGCCAAATAAAATTCCTCACAGGTCTGTATCTGTTTAAGAATCATGCTTACTTGATAAACAAACGAAAATCACTAAACTAAGATATAAAGACTTAAAACACTGCAGTTGACTAAAAAAAAAAAAAAAAGATCATAATACTCTGTAGCTCACTCCACCAAGAGGTGGAATCTATTTCTCTACCACTGGGGTCTGGGCTGGCCTTGTGTCTTTCTTTGACCAACAGAGTATACCACAAGTGACACTGTGTGAGTTCTGCCGGCCAGGCCTTAGGAGACCTTGCAGTGTCCACTCTCAATCTTGAAACCCTAAGATTTTCATAAGAATAAGGCCGAGCTAGCCTGCTGGAGCATGAGGCCATGTGAAATAGAACTGAGGCACCCAGCGGCCAGCCAGCCAGCCAGTCCCTGCCCAGCCTATCAGCTCACAAATGAGCCCCGGCCCCAGTCAGCTGAACACGACCCAGGGCTGCACAACTATCTGGTTGAACCAGATCAAATTTCTGACCCACAGAATCACAAATTAAGTAAATGTTTGTTGTTTTAAAATTTAAGTTTTGGGCTAGTTTGTTATGCAGCAAAAGCTAACTGTTACATATTTTAAACGCTCCCCCAAATTCTATTGACTTGCTCAGCCACCGTGGTTTCAACCCCGTAATCTATGAAGACAGACACTGTGCACTGCTTTTTCTCCATCACCTAACCCTGTGTGCTCCAGAAAGATCTGCTGAGTAAAAGAATAGCGTGAAATAGACTTATCTTGCTGGCACTCCAATTTTTTTTTTTTCCTAAATGAGGCAAGGAATAATGATAAATATAAGCTAAATAAAATAGAAGGAAAAACTCAATTAGACTTTGTCTTAATTATCCAATATTCTTAATTAATGGAGCATAGATTGATGAATTTTAAACCATCTGCAGACTCCTCCTACCTACTCTTCAACAAATATTTATTTAGTACATAATTTGTATTATATTATGCACTATGCTTACCCCAGGATACAAAGGATAAGCTAGACAGATAGCATCCCTGGTCTCATGGAGCAGTAGAAACTTATACCATTAATGCTATATAACACAGAATTAATTTCTTTTTAGAACTATAGGTACAAAATTATACATAAGGCTACGGGTATGTATATTCATAACTAATGCCATCTCTTCCTGCTATAAAAGGGGTTTCCTTTCCTGTCCTTTGATTTTTGCTGGTCTCTTTATTTTTTCCTATTTATTTGAATTCTATAATTCATCCAGCCATTCAGCAAATATTTACTGAGTGCTCTATGCTTGGTGGTAGGTATATATAAGATGAATTAAACAAAACTACTCTCTGATCTCACAGTGCGTTCAGTCCAGCCAGGGAGACAAAGATTTCATGTATAATCATTATAATAAACAAATAATTACAAATTAGCCAAGTGTCACAAAGTGTCACAAAGTGTCACTGGGTGCCGTCACAGAGGAGCGTGACCTTGTCTGGCCGGGGACCCCTTCGGCATGGCAAGCAGCTTGGCACAAGGTCAGCCCAACCTGAGCTGGTGAGTTTTAGGACATTCTTGTTACCTGTGGTTTTAAGGACTTGGGAGGGAGTTTTAGGGAGTTTATGGACTTGAACTGTCGACTCGTGAGCACTCAGCGTCTGTGTGGCTCCATCTCCCTCTTTCTCCCATCTCACAGTTGCCGTGTGTGGGCATTTTTCCATTCCTGGGAGTGCAACATACACATACAGTCTAGACCTTGGGACAACAGATCCTGAATTTGTTTCCTACGCCCCGCTTACCGTGGGGGAGCCGCCGGGACCTCCCCCTGCCATTGTCCACCTGTGGAATGAGGGCCACGCGCCCCCCTCCTCCCCCTCCTTATTACCACGCCTCGCCCGCCGCGTGCCCACGGGGCATCCGCGGTGCCGCATGGCCGCTTCGCTCCCTTCCCAGGCATGTGGCGAAGATCACTGAGACGGTGTTTGTGCAGTGCCACATGTTCCAGGAAGAGAGGCACTCTCCAGAAGGAATGCTACAAGGGATTGTAATTATGATTGCGCCTCCGCGGAGAGACCACGGGTACTTGGCATGGTGCCACCCCCTTATCTGGAGACAGCTGCTGCCCGGCCGCGCACACGCTCACAGTCACAGACTTTTCTGCTTCACATACAGATGGCCCCGGGCCGCGGCAGGCAACGCGCGACCAAGCAGATGAGGGCTGGTGCCCGCACCTCCGAGCCGTCAGTCAATGTTGATTCATTCAACAAATATTTATTGAGTGTCTACTGTGAGCCAGTGATGAGTCTAGGCATTGCTGGGGCATGAAAGCTTATAACGGAGAAGAGAAACCGTTTATGAATCCGTCGCTACGAGGCTCAGCACCGAGCCAAATACTATCTCATTAATCCCTTTACAGATGAAGAAACTGCTGTTCAGTGACATATAGAGGGTCAGGGAGTTAGGACACGGCGGAGCTGAGACTTGGTTTGATGTCAGTCCAATTCTAACTGCCGTGCTTTTTCTAGTTCTGCTTCAGGAACTTACAAAGATGCCCAAGGTCCCCACCTCTACAGAGGCTGATATCCTTGCACACGGGCACAGAGCTATGTCAGCCCCCTGGTCCCCCCTGCTCACCGAAATATGCACAGTCCCCATAGAAAGTCACATTGTCCTCTTTCTGACCCTGGAGTCATCTTCTTAAACTTCTTTTTGCAGTCTAATACCTGGTAGAAATTCCCAGGTAAAGGCAAGAGGAGTGTTCCAGGCAAAGGAACCAGCCCATGCACATTTCTAGAGGCAAGAGAGACATATCGAGATGTGGAGGGCCTAGGCATGCTCAGTGAGGAAGAAGGAGTCCCAGAAAGGGGAACAACAAAAGGTAAAAGAGCAAAACAGGACTCACTGACAGCGGCAAGATGGGATCGAATCAAACCCTGGGTTGAGGAGATGCAGAGGATTCTTTATGGACAGGTGGGAAGGTTAGAGGTAAGAACGTTTAGATTAAGCAAATGAAAATGATGACTGCTATGATACTTCAAGAGAATGGGAAAGGTTTGAGTGGGGAACAGGAAATGATGTTTGCAAATTGTTTGCTGGCTTTTTATTTAAGATAGCAAAAAAAAAAAAAAATTGGAAATGATCTCAGTGCCCAGCCATAGGGGAGCACTTAAGAAAATCCTGAGATAGTGACTGGATAGGATGTTACGTGGCTATTAATAATGATCATTATGAAGACTTTGTGGCAACATGAAAAAAGGCTCATGATATAAAACAGTAGGAAAAAAAAAAAGATGATAGAAAATAAAATCCTGCCCTTTTTGGATGCCTGTATGGAAAAAAAAAACCCAGAAATGGACAGAAAGAGAGATTGGTTTGAGACAGAAAAGCAAATTCATGGAGCAACGGTTCTAAAAGGTAACCCACGAATCCCACGCAATACTTGACATTATTGGTAAAATATTATGTGTGCATGTGTCTGTCTATGTACAGCATATATAAGTTTTTCCTGGGATGAGGTGAAGGCTCCAAGATTTTGTTATTTCTCAGAGGGGCCTATGATCACACCAAGACTACAGAGGACGGTTCGAATTACTGTATCAGAGGATCTGCGTTTTTAGTTGGGACTCTACATTTCTTTAAGATAGCTGAAAAGTATTCTTATCTGACAGCTAACTCCCAATATTCTGAGGATCCACTTTGGGAGCCCACATTATGAACTGTCTGCATGAGGGGCCCAAGCCTCTCCTCTCCCGGATTCAACACTGGACTCGAGTGCATTCACATTCACGCACCAGCAGTGCCTTCTCTCTCACGCGGCGGGCAGTTTTCATCCAGGTCCCCGGGGTTCCTAGGAGCTCACCAGGGAACTCTTCCAAGGAGCAAAGGGATCCTTTTCATCATTTCAGTGACCTCCCATAGCTTTACAAAATATTAAATCCCTTCCCAATCAAAGGTCACTGGGAGAACTGAGCCCCATGGCTGCGGAGCCACGTCTGAGATGCACAAGGAAGAAAGAGACCCCACGAGACTGCTGCACCACGATGGCTAACTGCCCCAAAGACCCCATGCCCTTACATCACACCAGTGCATCTCATGGCATGGAGTAGGAAGAACAGTGTGTGATAAAGAAGAAAAAAAAAATAGCCACTTAGAAAAACAAAGCATTTGAATAATCGAGAACGATGGTATCTTTGACTGGGTCATGCTTAATTAAGCTAGTTCACATAGATATTAAAACACACTGGTGCTTGTCCGATCCAGTTTGCTGTCCTATGGTCACTGACTAGTTACTCCCCACCTCCCACATGCCTGGCCTCTTCTGTCCCATCAAAGAGCACGAAGATCACGGGGCTGTGGCAGGGGGAAGGATGAAAGGGACTCAAGGAGTATAGTTTCTGGCCATCCCACCCTGGATTTGAATACCTCTGCCACCAAGCAATTAATGGTATCCACTGAGCCTCATTTCCCTCATCTGTAAAATGGGTTGTATTACTTTCCATGCCGGCTGTATGAGAACTCTGTGAGTGAATGTGAGTACAGCACAGAACACAGATGCAGGCTCTTAGAAGGCATGCACAGAGATAATAAGGTCTTAACGTTGTATCCCTTTCCTACCACACAGGTGGTTGGGTAGATTAAATGAGCTCATGGAGGATGGAAGAAGAGCAAAAAATAAATTAATTAAAAAATAAAATAGGGAAACAAAGCCCCTGTAAAATGTTACAGAAATAGCATTCTATGAGTAAGCTCCAGCCAGCTCCTTTTCCTTGCACAGGTGTGAAGCTGCCTGGTTTCCCAAAGGTCACAGGCCCTGCATTATACTTCTGGTCTTTTCTTGTCTCCAAAGAGCATGGGAATTCAGTCGCTGTGCTGAGTTTTTTTCCCTAGGGCTCTAGCTGAGCCTTGAACGAGTGTCACCATGCTAAGGGTCAGCATGTCCCCAGACAGAATAGTATTTTAATTCAACAGCATTCAGTAGTTATTAAACTATGATAAATGCTAAAGTGGGAAAGATTACACTTAGACATAAGAAGTGTCACTTGAATCACTTAAAAATATTATAATGTATGTCTAATTACACCTTGGCTATATTATCCAGCGCTGTGAAAACTCTTCAAATCCTTAAGTAAGGTACCATTTAAATACCTATTTCGGTATGTAATGGGTAATATTCTTGAGTGCAAATGTTGTTAAAGGACCCACCATTCATTGAGTATCTATTATGTGCTGGGCGCTTAGTCCATATTAATTCATTTAATTCTCGAAACAATTAATTCATGGAGGCTGTCATTATCATCCCCATTTTACTGGTTAGGATATTCAGAGAGGTCAAGTGACTTGCCTAAGGTCATACAACTGATAAATACAGTGTGTCACAAAAGTCACCATCCATTGGCAAAATGGGAACTGTAGCTAAATGTACCTTTACTCACAAAATACTCATTATAAAACTGTGAGCTACAATTTCCCATTTTACCTATGTATGGTGACTTCTGGGATACCCTGCAATTGATAAATAGTTGATAAATGGCTAGGATCTGAATCTCGGAAGGCCATCACTAGAATCTACTGTCACAGACGGATACAAGGTGACCTCTGTTTCACACTTCTCTGTGCCTCAGTGTCCTCACCCATACAATAGTGTCAGTAATTGTACTGGGCTCTTGTGAGGACTGAGTGAGATGATGTAGGAAAAGCTCATAACACAGTGGTCAATAAACAAAAGCACACTATGTGTTATTATGATGTTCTCCTAGGCTGCCATTCTAGCACATTTAAGCTAACAGCTCCAGAGCTGAGATTCATTTTGGAGGGGAACCCTCTCTTGTCCCCAGCATGGATTTAATTAATACAGTTGAAGCAACGTGGTGCATAGGTCTAGAGAGCAGAACTGGCCACGTAAATTCGCATAGCACAACACAAAGTAAAAATGTCGTGCCCTGGTTAAAAAAACCATTCAGGATTTCAAGATGGCAACAGCAGAGCATTAAACCAAGCACGGGGCTTCGAAGCACTTGAATATGTCCCAACTACACAAATTGTGCGCCCGGGCAGCCAGCACCAGGAGTCGGGGCTGCCCCTGCTACTTACAGAATCTGTGGCCTTGGGCAAAGCAGTGGAACTTTTTGAGTCTCCCTCTGATTTCTCAGCAATAAAATGGAAACCATTCTTGCCTTACAGGTTATAGGGGGAACTAAACATGCTGATGGATAAAAAAAAGTCTTGCTTCACCGCAAAATGGCACGCCAACAGCCCTCGATCCTGGCCGCGGGGCAGGACCACCTGTGAGCCTGTTAAAACTACAGATGCTGCTGCTGTCGCCCCTGAAGATTCATATCCACGGGGACAGGGCTGTGCATCTGTGTTATGAATAAGCTCAAGTGGTTCTGATACACGGCCAGGATCGAGAAGCACTGTGCTACTAAGCAAAAGATGCTATTTCGTACAAGCACATTCAGCTCAATTACTTAGAATGGGGATGGTCCTTTCTTTGTTTTGAGATTATAGTCAAGGCATATTTAAAGGGCCAAATCCCCTGAAACTCACCCAATGAAACTGTTTTGATATATCTCTTGGACAGCCTGTCAGTGATATGGCTCTGGGACACACAAAAGATCCCTTTTATACCACTAGGCGAGGACTCATGCCCCAGTTGAAACTGCAACTTCAAGGCCAAAGTCTTCACACTGGGCTCCGCGCCTCCCACCCCAACCTTCTGGCTTCTGGTTGCCACGTAACCAAAAAAGACCAGCTCCGGTGAGAATCGATATGCAACAGCAGCCTTTCTTTGGTATAACTTCAAATGCAGGCAGAAAATGGATTGTATGGTGACAGCTTTCATGCCACCTGGCACATGTCACTGTAATTCAGCTGCATTCTCACCTGAGTGTCTGTTCGGGAAAGACAGAATGGCTACATTCCACAAGTCACATGCATCCTCTCATCAAAGCCATTTAGGGTTTTTTTTGTTTGTTTTTTTTTTTTAAACAGAATGTGTTCTGCCTTACTGGGAGTATTAATGAAGATTCTATTCTATGGGGAGGAAGATGAGGGGCAGTCCAGAGCTTCAGAGCAGTGGTGACAAGGACAAGGCATGCGTGTGCCATTAACAGGGTGTTGGTTTGGTGGCACATGAACAGAAAGCGCAGAGGCACCTGGAGTGGTTAGCTGGGGTATAGTAAAGCCCATGTGCTAACCCCACGATATGATGCATACTCAGCTCAAATTTCCAGGCTGTAATTTCTCCCCCTGCGTATGTATGCTTGGCTGTCGATGTGATCACCATGTTACTATGGTCAGCTGGAGGAGGTGTCCATCCCAGTGGAGCCACACACACAGGTCACCACCATGACCCAATCAAGGGCCATCTTGTACTGTACCGGAGACCACTGGCTTCTTTTCTTTTGGTACCTGACTGCTTTAAAACTCAACCTATATATGCCTCACTCGCTGCAAGAAGGTCTAAGTCTCTTTCTCTTTGTCCAGCCATCTCAGACTTAATGGGTCCTTCCCTGCTTTCTGGACAGTCTGTGGCCGATACACGGGTGGCCACTACCCAGAGCTGCAAGACATGTGGGAATGAAAAGAGGGAGAACTAGCTCTTTGGGATAACGCTCTACATATTAGGATCCTTTTTGGAAGCTGAGCTCCTGTCTTCCAGGACATCACGGTTTACTTGTAGCATGGTACATCTGCAAGAATTCTTAAGGTCGGCCACCCCAACCCCCAGCTTTATGGGCGAAGAAACCAAGGCTCAGGGAAGTTAAGTGCGTCACACAAGGTCACACAATGAGAAGTGCCACAGGCAGGACAGGAAGCTCCATCTACCAACAGCACCAGGGCACTTCCTGCAGCCCACTTCTTGTCCATCTTGGTTTGCTTAGCAAATGCTACGAGGCCCACAGAGGCAGCTTCTCTTAAACCGTAGCCATCCTTTTTCATGCTTCCTTTAAATATGGTTTCTCCTTCCTCACACTGAGCCCACG